AATAGCTGATGATGAAACTTGGTGCTGAGAAAAGACAGCCACATTATGTATGTATTTCTTTTAATGAAAGCTGTTTGGATAATTTCTTTTCATTAATAAAGTCCTATTACTACAATGAAAGAGACAAGACTAAGCACTGGCCACTTTTGATTATTTCACAATGCCTATGGAGGAACAGAGAAAATTATGGCAAAGGAAGAAATCAAATAGATGCTGCACAGAGCCTCTATACTTTATTATCTATAATATGAAGTAAAAATTGAATAATACAAGGGACATAACTGCACTAAGAAAATATAATGTAATCTACTCTCAGCAACTTTTTAGGCATGTCCAGAAAAATTCTTTAAAATTTGGGGAGGGGGGTACTGAAGATGCTGGATCCTTATTACACTTGAAAGATCTCATAATTTCATTAGATTTTTTTCCCCACCAGGTTAGACTTCTAATGACAACAGCAAATAGGCCTACTGGCTAATAAACTGTAGTAAAACTGTCAGACACAGTGCCATAGCGGTGCAAAGTAAGCAATACAAGTAACATGGTCTCGATCAAACATGAGAAATGTACCCAAAAAATTCATTTCAGACAGACATCAGACTTTCAAAATACATGTATGTAATAACAACGATGATTATTTTATATTCAAAGGAATGAAATCTTACTAGCCTTACAATTCTAACCAAATTCAGACTTCTGACAATATTGAACAAAATACTATGAAGGTTATGGTACTTAACTTCTCTCCATACTCATTTCCTTTACAATTTAAGCCTTCAGAATAAGCCCCGCTAAACACAGTGCACGGTACATCATTTGAAACTGAATACCATTACCTGGACCCTTGTCAGGACACCAAGCTGAGAGAAAATACTTTTGGAAAAATTAGAAAAATAATTCAGGCCCCACTCGGATTTGAATTTTGCATTCCTGTGCTGCAGTCGTAGTTTGTAAACTAGTTTGTAAGCCTAGTGGTTAGGCTTTCGGACTCGCAACTGCAAGGTCGAGGGTTCGAATCCCGTCAGGTCAGGGGCCCGAAGCCGTGTCCTTCGGAAAGGCACTTTACATGAATTTTCCCCACTTCACCCAGGTGGGAAGGGGTACCCAGCGAAAGATCTTGTCAGTTTGTTATTGTTTGACCACTTAATCAGCTGCTTGTACTGTATGCTTCCTGGGGAGCTGAGAATGTTTCTGAGTGTTCTGTGGTCTGCTGGGGTAATAGTAATAATATAGTGTAAAAATCAGAGAGCTTGCTGCTGAGCGGGTGTATGCACTATAATAAACGCTATTTATTATTGTAATTATTCATTCCTTTTTACTAGGTCAGATCGAGCACTCGAATTTTTCATCTTGGATAAGGGAGAAAAGTCTCAGAGCTCCTGTGGGCATGTTGTACACATTAAAGATCCCTTGGTGATAGAAAACTGTAGTAGGTCGTTATGCCACCACCCTAACAAAATTTTAAAATACTCTAAAATAAAAATATCCCTACCCCATACCAGTAAAACAGTAAGAAACACTCTTACTCTTACATCTTCCATGATTCCATATGTAACGACCACATCTCTCCTTTGGAGCATAACAAGGAAATCAAGATCTGAAGGGAGGTAAGTATTACTTCAACAATCTACTCCCTCTGTGTCAACAGCCCATGCAAAGCTGTACAAGTATCAAACATAGAGTAGAGGCTTACTGCTTTAAGTTTAAGACTATCTGTCAAGACACAAAAAAACAGTTTTTATTTTGACCAAAGAACTAGGTCGAGCCAAAGCATGATTTCTCAAACAGTTTTAAATTCATGCTGAAGAAATTTATGAAATCTATCCTGCCTTCTTTTGAAAGGGTTACTGTTTAAAAAACCAAAAGCTATAAATAGACATAAAATATAATGGCATTTTTCTGCGAAACTCTTATTCTTCATGATACAAATGTAACACATTTTTCCCAGACAGTAATAGAGCAACTGATACTATGATTAGCAGGCCTACATAAAATAAATACCGACAGCTTGAACTAGCTGACCATTAGTCACATTATGGCTCAGTCATAGTATTTCAAATTCAGAAAAAAATTTCCCAAGCATATATATAAAAAGGTCAAGTTAGCACATCATTAGTCCACTTGATAAGAAACTTGAATAAAGGAGTTTTAATTCTACTTTTGGCTAATGTTGAAAAGTATAAAATTTCACCATCATGAACAAGTAGGGACACACTCTAATTCGTTTATCTTCATTGTTTAAAGTATCTAAAACAGATTGAAGTTGCATGAAGACTGAATAAAAAAGACAAAGTATATGCAAAGTAAAATACTTAAAGCTTAGTACTTTTAAGAAATTTGTAATTGTTTTCAGAGCTAGTTTAGTTGACAGTCTACCGCAAGTCCTGCTAGAGTCTAAGACAAGTCTCGTCTGATTGGCTAAATGTCTACTTGTGCTGTCAAACAGCAGTAATGACAGCCCTGGGGGCATTTACATCAAAGACGGTGGCATTTATAATTTTGCGGAGTGTGGATGAGTGGATAACGTCATTGGTGGTGGTAAACATGCTTGACATACGTAAGTTGTGACATCAAGTGGTGACCAGATGTGACGGTGTCAACCAACATTTTTAATGCAGCCAGTGACAAGCCTGTACAAATGATGAAGGAAAACGTAAAGTGATCCTTGTTACAAATCCCGCACCTGAAACTCATAAATCGTCAAGTACACCAGTTTTCAGACTGGTCCGGTAGTAAACTGTCATGCAGACCATCAACTAAACTTGCACCTTGTTTTTTCTTCGTTCACTTCGAAGAAAAAACTCTCAGTGTCACATCCAGATCATACACGCAATCCAAAAAGTCTTCGGAGAACTAAAGTTGTACATTTTTGTGACGTGAAGTTACCAATACACAATAATGAAATATGCAAAAAAACAAAAAAGACAATGCTTCATTCTTTCAAGATGACGTTTGTCCTGTTCTAAGCTAAATTTAACTTTTTTTTTTAAAGGGCGAAATTTCCTCCTCCCCCCCCCCCCCCAAAAACAACAACAACAAAACACAGTACAAAATATCAACAAAATTGGTAAAGAACTACAACTTGTAAGTGGAACTTGAACCACAATCACAATGTTTAAAAAATTATTATCTTACTAAGCTAATAACAAAATTGTGACAGTAAAGCATTAAACGTAAAAAGAACAAAAAACAGGGAATAAAATCATTGAGAACATGACTAAAACAAGAGCACTCCATACGAGAAGGGGGAGGATGAAAGAAGTACTTTATTTAATTCTCTTTATTCACTTATATAATGTCTGCGTTCTATCACTCCCTATCTTCATTGTTAGAAGTACTGAAATTAATACATCAGACTATGAAAGCAACAGTACCATTACAATAGACCATTATAAACCTTGCATTGCATGGGTTTATCAACACATGACTGCATCTTAAGAGAAAGTGCCTATAAGTTATCTCTTACTTTTAAAAAACGTATGTACATGTAGTTCAATTTAAACATTCCAAAAATTATTCTGAAGAAGTGTAAAACCTATTATAACATGATTATGTGTAGACTGGAGGCTTGACCTTCCAACTACTTAGATGTAAGAAATAGTGCAATTAACTTACTGAGGGGGGGAATAAACAGATTAAGTTCAAGTTAAAGAGATGAAATTATGGTTGTATTAAAATACACCACAGTACAATAATGCTAGGACATTCATCACAGAACAAATATTACTTGTACATATATGTATACGGTATGATTGTGAATGCTCATCATTTTATGGACAATATGCACAATTTGTTTTGGTCGTTAACAATCGCAGTAACTTAGACGTTACAAAAGTGAGACCTAAAGGTGCACTCACGCAAACGCACAACAAGACAGGACATTAGGCCTAGTAAATACATGTCTCACATGCTGGGACAAACCCGCTCTGTAAAACATTCTCTCTCTCTCTCTCTCTCTGTTTCATTCAAACAGTGATTCAACGTAAAGTGATATTATTCTCAGACAATACATTTGATGAAAGGTTCCCTTATCGTTTATATAAAAGCTCAAAATCTGCAGTTCCACAAAACAACGTCACTCATTCTATATTCTAATATAAGAATACAGTTGGGCACAGATAAACAAACACTCAAAACTCAAAATCACAAAAATAGTTCGGACATTACCATTCCCCAACTGAACCGTTAAAATATTTCTTTGAACTGGCAACACTGTTTTCTCAAACACCAATGGATTTGTCGAACATCTCATCTCGATATCTAAAAACCTGATCAAATTTATCCTTTTAATTGTCTCAAATTCAAATCGCCCTAGGAACATCATGATGGAAAATAACACACCCATCATCATCGATAATATCAGGTACACTAGCCCACCAGGCTTGCCCCCGCATAGTGTGATACACCCACTGCTGGTAATTAGAAACCTCAGGGCAAATTATCTCTGTAATCTGCGTAAGACACTAGAAATTCCTTGAATAGACTAGCCATTTGAGGGTGGAGCGTGATCCAAGATTTTCCTTAATTTTCCTTTCTATCATTTTACTCAAATATGGAAATATTGAACACATATCAATCTCAGACTCTGATGAGTCTAAGTTATCCATGCCCAACTGTACTGAACAGTAAGATCCAAACACTTTTAACTCACTTGAGCCTGAGTTTTTTTTCACCCAACAACCATTGCAGCCTGACACTTTTGAGGTAGTAGCATTAACCACAAAAAAAGACTGTGAGAGAGCTATCATAATTTTTCAAATGCAACAAGAGACAGAAGAAATGCCCTTATGGAAAAAGAAAGCTGCATCTAAATCGTCTGAATAGTATATATATATATATATATATATATATATATATATATATATATATATATATATATATATATATATATATATATATACACACACACACACACACACACACATATATATATATATATATATATATATATATATATAGATCTAAATATTATCAATATTTTGAAACGCCAATATCAGGGGTTTTTTTGTTTTTTTTCGCCAAATTTGTAATAAAATCAATGATCGCAACATGGGGATGACTGAATTAGTCCGTTACAGCAAAAAAAGTATTTGCACATAAGTAGATCAAATGTTTAACGAAATGATACAAGTGAATCAATTGTTGCCTCACCACTTCCCATAGCTCAAGTGTACCGAAAAACACAGGAGATATATTGACTGATAATAGCGCACCCCTTTATACATGGGATTCTTCAGCCACAGGGCTGGCGACTCACCCAGTAAATACACGGGAATAGGCTCAAGTGAGTTAATAGATCAAGCAAATAAATAAGAGGGGGTGGGGGGACCCACCCGACCCCCCCCCCCTATACACACACACCAAATTCTTAATAATAATAATAATAGATAGCATTTGTATAGAGCGCATATCCCTGCTCAGCAGCAGGCTCTATGCGCTTTACACTATATTCTTGTGATGCATATTACATTTGAGACCAAACGGCAATTTTTTTTGGTCAAACACTGTAATAAAATTTATGCAAGCAAGTATGGAATTTACATATATTGTTGTGAGCTTGCCTTTCTTAAAACTTTTTATATTAAAAGTATGAAAAGAAGTTGCAGTTTCAAGTTTGTGTCATTATCATCATCGTAACTCCAACCATAATATAATTCAAACAAGATCTGAAAGGGAAAACGGATATTTAGAAATTCAGCCACACTAACTCATCACCATGCAAAATGACCTTTAATTATAATCATGGTCTATAGGTCCCAAACAATGGGCACTCAATCATTCTGTCATACAATGAGGTTACCCGGTGGGTACGAGCAACAGTTCGTTTAAAAAATGAATGGCACTGAAAGACTTTTCAAATAAATTTTCATACTTAAGTATCTGAACAAGTTTATGCAAAGCAAGAGGTAGAGAATTGGATTCTATACGATGTGAAGGATAAAAACCTTTGCTTTTGTACCCTCAAAAGATGCGAGTTTGATTCCCAAATTCATATTATTAAAAAGTCCTAATGGATACTCTCTTCATAATTCCAAAATACTTTTGTCGACTTTTGGTCAACGAACTATCTCTAGATCTGTAAAATTTAAGTCAATGAATCACAATCACTAGTAGAATTAACATTATACCACAAATTGTTCATGATTAATCTTGGGAAATATCTATCTGCGGCCCTTTATATCTAATTGTATCACACCAGTAGCTTCTTGGCTGAGCAACTTCAACAAGCCATCTTTTAGTCTGGTCTGCTTTATCACTCGCTACTTCATGATAGTAATGACAACTGTCATCATCGGCATACGGAGGGGCCAGAACATCCAAGAAAGCTGCAATGTTTGTCAGGGGATGTATTTCATGTATATTGCCTTCTGATGGGGAAAGAACGCAACAACCATCCTCACTGGAGACGATGACATCCTCATTCTTGATTACAGTTTTCACCATGTCATTAGACCTGGTCCTCCTAGATCTAGAATAGGTCAGAATATTTTCTACATTTTCGGGCATTGGCTCTGACTCAATAACACTATATGATGTTACCTTGATTTTCCCACAAATCACTTTCAGCATCCCATACATCTGAGGGTGATCATGTAGGGGCAACGAGCTTCCCTGTTTCAAAATGAAGACAGACATTGTATGTGAACTCTCATCGAGGAGTGGCATGTATGTTACTGGTGCTCGTTGATACTCTTTTAAATTTGCTTCTCTCTCCTCGATTTCACTAACATCAAACCGTAGGTCGGTAGCTTTTATTTTGTTGACTTCACAGATGAGTGGCGATAGATATTCCGATGTTAATTTCTCTCGAGACTGTCCGGCGAATAATCTCTTGCATAGTAACGCAAGCTTTTGGATGGGAGCTGCCATATTATTCTCGAGACGAAATGAAAACTGAAAACAAAACTACAATACTCGAGTACTTAGAAATGTTATTCTATCATTGCTATCTTTGACTCAAGCAATCAAGGGTAAATCTTAGAAACTAAATTTTATGAAAATTGAAACGCATTATAATCTACTGATGTTAGCAAATACAATAAAAACTTTCTTTTGCTATAATTTTTCAGGAACTGATATCGTGTACTTGAGCATTTAAAAGGTAGATCGATTCGGCTCAAGTATTCGCTACAACGCAATCAAGTTTGTACTTCCGCTTCCTCTTTACCTTTCGTCTTTGACACTTGCGGCTAGCTGCAGCCCCGTCAGCCAGAAGCTGATTGGCTGCGGTAGGCTAGTGGTAAATATTGTGTTGGGCCTATGATTCCAGTTTTAGCAGTTTGGAAACTTCTGAAACAGTGCT